AATGGAGTACCTTGGGGCCTTAGAGCCTACCCAAGGAAATGAAGTGGGCCTCAAAGCCTACTCAAGGTCACCTTAGGTCCGTAAGGAATTACTAGCTTGATCAAAGCTTACTTCAGAATCCTGCCCAGACAGTATCCCAATAATTGGTTCATACAATAAACGATAGATTTCATGATCCATAAATCAGGAATGATTATATCTTTTAGTGAAAACAAGTAACTATAGAACACATTTCATATATCTATAGTTCATAAATAGTAACTCAATACATCAGTAACTTCAGTAAATCATATTTCAGGATAAATAAAACAATAATATAGCACATAGGGAACACACTAGAGGATTCAATTATTTTCTGGAGGTACATGGTAATTATCAAGCGGGAAAAACACAAAACTTCTGTAAACTGATTGAACTTTGGAAATGAGATCCCCTTTTAAAGAGTTTGATAACTAACGTATTAACCAACAATTAGGAAAGTGATATATTAGGATCATATAATATTCGGATATATCCAAAGGATATTCTTAAGATTTAGAATTTCTTGAGGTGATTTCATTAATCAAACTCATAAAGACATTTTAGTCATTTGATTCATGATATATTTTGGTAATTCAATTTGATAAAGGTAAGAAGTGATTTACAGTATTTCAAATTTCAAGTATCTTTATCAGGCTTCCAAGTCTGATCGAATTGTATCGATCCCAATATCTGAGGTAGAGTAACTTCACGAATATTCATTTCCTATTATTGACTGCACTATAAAGTTGAATTGATCATCTTCAGAACCATCATTTGACGAATCTTGAGGAGATGAATGTGTATCCAAACTATTTTATTTTATTCTTATATGTAACAGTCGTAAGCATGGCTGATATGCATGGGACGTGTTTCAACCCTTAGGGGTGATACAACCTTTATTTATATTTTTATCAATATATCCAAAATATATCCAAAGACATTCACTTATTCTAAACCATGAAGGTATTTAGATCATTTCGGTACTTGACGTTAATTTAGTCATTTCAGGACTCGAGGGTATTTCATTTATTTTGAAATACAATGATATTTTGATTATTTTAGGGTTTTAGGGTTATTTTGGTCATTTTAGCTTTTAGGGTATTTCAGTTATTTCATTCAACCATTTAATTCAATCTTGTCAATTCTTTCAGTCATTTCGAATAACCCTGACAATAAGAGTACTTTCGATAAGTTAGTATTTGAGTGTTTACTCATAAATAAAAAATTTGGGTCTAGTGCTTTCTTAGAGCTTACGAACTGATAACCAAAATTTAAAGATTATGATGTTAAACGCTTCAGTGGTTAATCACGGAACTTGGAATTGTTCCTTATCAATCTTCTAATTCCTTATACGAGACATCAGAGTTTTATTCAGTTACTTATTTTTACCCAATTCAGATCGAGGTTAGAAATAATTAACTATATAGTTGAGACCAAACATATTCATCCATGCACTTAACAATACCAATATGTACCGTAAAATATATATAGAGTAGTAAAATATTACCTCGATTCTTGAGCTACACCGGTCAAACATTTAAACTTTATTTGATCGCTTTCAAACTTGAATCCAATGTCCAATAATATCTTGGATACATATAAACATAAATTACATCAGAAACGGGGCTTAATTACAAAAAAATGATCGAATCGGGAGGTTAATCAGTGAAAAACAACTTACTGAGTTTGAATTTGGTGAAACAGACTCAGGACATCGAAAAACATCAGGAAAGGTGTTCCCGAAAAAAGTCAACGGTCGGTCAACGAGCAACAATCGGTCAACGGTCAATGCATGGTCAATAGCTCCGCTCGGCGTGGCTCGGCTCGGTCCAGACCGGTCCAATCGGTTCAGCCAATCAACAAACTCTCTTGGTTGATAGATGACGCCCACGTGCAGGGAGCAGCAAGTGCGACGGCTTTGGTCCTCAGTTCGGTGCGAAATGTTTTAGTCTTGTAGATCGGTACCTCAGGAGTCTTGTGTATGTGTTATTTTACGACAAAACACGACAGAGTGTGAAATTTTAAAATTATCAAACATTTTCCAACGATGACAGGCGAGTGACAATGGCAGAGCAACGCGAGGGGATATTATCTGTTAGAGTCTGTTCACAAAACGTCGGGAGCACATGGAAGGTGGCGGTGTTGTGAACGGACGCTGAGATCGGTCGGAAATGTTGAAAATCTGAATGAGATAACTTGAAATTTGACGAATCTTTGCTGGCTTTCTAAGACAAACGACGAGGCTTCTCAGAGTGTGGCAAGTTGGGTTTTGGTCACGAATCGACGACATATACACCGATTGTGGCTGTGTTCATCACTTGTGGCCGGAGAGTAAATGATGAGAGGGGCGACAAACGAGGGCTTGTTTCAGCTGATGAGGGTTTTGTTTGGGAATTAAATATTATACATATATGATAAAATAACATATTTATTAATTTAAAACTTAAATAGTAACCTAGTCTAATGGTAGAGGCATGGTTGACCATGTCTTAGGCTAGCCATGCCCCTTTTTTTTATTTAGAATGGATGGGTAAAATTGGTGTTAGGTCCCTAAAATGATTTGGAGTTTACAGAATGACCCCAAATAATCCAAAATTTAGCAATTTGGTCCCCAATTTTCTTTTAAATGACTTAAATTTTTTAATACTTCTCTATTTAATATTTTAATTAATTTGGGGTTACATTTTGTATTGGCTATTGTGGATATTTTCTATATGTTTCTTTGGTGGGGGAGTCGTTTTCTGTTTGTTTTGATCTATTTCCTTGGTGTGCATCAGTTTAGGGTATTTCCTTTTGGTGTAGTTTTGTTCTGTTTTTGTTACCGAATTGAATGTACTATTTTTCTCCATTTAGGTTTAGGGAGGTTTTAATGAAGCATTATGTGTGTGTGTGCACGAGTCTTGTTCAAAGCATAATAATAAAGTAGAAAACTAATAAGAATTAAGGACAACAAAGTTCAACAGAAACCAAACATTTTATTCAATAAAAGTGGAATTGAAATGCCCATTTTGTAGTTTTATAAAACCAAGCATAAAGTATGAGTGCATCATGCCCGACATGCATCCCATTACATCGGAACCTACGAATGTATTCAATCACAGTGAATTTCGGATATAAATACGTGACAGGAGTATTCGAGGCCTACGCGGGGGAGAGAACAAGAAGAAGGAGACCATATTTCCTGAATAAAAGGAAATAACATGCTCAAAGTTAGAAATCAATACTATACATATATATATTAAGCATTTGATTTAATGTTAAATTCAGGACGAACCGGCGATCCCAACTATGGTTCTTATCGTTTCTGTGCTGATCATTTTTACTGCAACTCTAGAGAAGAAAGTAGCTCGAGAAACTTTATTTTTTCTGCTTTTGGAATTCAATTCTTAGAAATGTTAGAATGTGACAGAGTGATGGAGCTTGTAATAAATATATAGTGTTCTTGCATAAGGTTAATTTTTGCTATACTGCTTCAAGTCTGGATCAAAAAGAAACTCTTTGACTTTCCATACATAGAAAGAAGGAAGAAACATTGGTAGACGCAGTTTACGTCAATCTTGCAGTTTTCTTCATGCAACTAATTTTAGTCCCTTTCGGGAAACAAAAGCATCAGTCCGCCGAGAGGGTGGCGGTGAGTTTCTTTCTTTGGATATAATAACTCGTGGGGATAAAATACTAAATATAACTTCAACTTTTTTCTCATCAAAGTCGTGCATTTTCTTAATCAAACATGAGATGCTAAAACCAACAAAAACACAAATAAACTTAGCATTGGGACTCCAAGGAAATCACCATCACGCACAAAACATACATCACCTGTCCACTTCGGCTTAGCAAGTGAGAGCAAGCATAATTCAGCAAGCAAATCTTATAATTTCCGTCGCTTTTCCGAACATCTCTTGCACCAGGACAATGAGTCATTCTAACAGAAGGCCACACGAACAACTTCCTAGAACGAATAAATAACTCCAAGAAACTTAATTGCTGAAATTTCAACAAGACGGGTAAGGTAGAGCCAAGAGGACCCCAGAACATAGCTAACAATCCAATTAAGACAATACAACCATTTACGGACATGATTTATGTTAGTGGGACGACCTTATAGGGAAAAACGATTTCATGTATGGTGGATGAATTTATAAAATTTGAAGTAATGGAGACTTTATAAAATTATAGGGTCGAAATATTTTTTAATAAAAAATACAAAACAAATATCTAAAATATATAGGATACCTAGGTAAGTAAAGGGAGGCTTCCCACCTTACACCTACACACTTGTGCCATTACCTTAACTTTTCACCTCCACTTCAACTCCAACCAAGCATGATTTTTTACAGTTCATGCTCAAACCAGCACAAACTTCAAAGCAACAAGCAAATTCTTCACATTCAACATAAATTCACTGTAGACTTAAAAAAATAGAATGTATCGTCCGCAAATTGAAGATGAGTAAAGGAGTGACTTGTAATACATTTTGGATGCCGCTAAATGCCTTGTTAGAAATTAATCCTTTCTATTAATGTATCATGTATCACTATAATAGGAATTAACGATTTAATGACTAAAATGTAACAAATTGATAACAAAAGTGATTGAAACGTTAATTTAAAAAGTTCAGTGAAAAACATAAAAAGAAAACCAAACAAAAGTAACATTGTTAAAGTTTATTTTAGGGTTTAGGGTTAAGTGATAAGCGTTACTTGAAGCATTGTTAAATATTATCTACATTAGGGGATGGTGGGTTGTGGTTCATATATCTGAGTATAATAGTCATATTAAAGCCCAATATGAAGCAGAAAACTAACAAGAATTAGGGGCAAAAACAGAAAGCAGAGATTTTTGCAATAAAAGTGGAACTGAAATGCAAGGTACAAATGTTCGTTTAAACAATCCTGTCTAAACAATTCTTAAAACCAGGTACCGAAAAAACAAGAACATCCACTAAAAAGGAGAAGCATGAGCAACACACTCAATCTCAGAACTCGATGGAGTTGTCAAATCTCGGAAAGTTGAACCTTTTGAGTCGCTTTTTCATCGTCATCCCAATTGGTTTTATAGAACCAAGCATAAAGTATGAGCTGTATCATGCCTGACAGGCTTCCCAATCCATTCGGAATCTGCGAATGTATTCAAAACACAAGTGATATCGGATATATAATATATGTGACACGAGTATTTGAGGAGAATATAGCACTAAAGAGAGAAGGGGAAGTATTCAAGTGGAGCTTGTAGAGAGTTACCAAGACATTAATATCAAATTTGAGCAATGCATAAATCATCCAAACAATTCCATTCAAGACGTTGAAAAGGGAGAGAGTGAATGGCATGTACTTGACGCTCTTTGTCTTAATCACCATACTCTGCCAAAACATGAACATATCATCAATAGAAAATACAACAAATAATATCAAAACTATAGGAGAGTTTAAAATTATGAACACGTACCATGACCGTCAATGGCGAAACATACATTCCAATGTTGAAGACCACGCACAATATTCCCACAAACATGGACCTTTTCTTGGTGGTTTTAAACACAATCAATGTAATCACAACTACAGCTGCCATGAAGATGGCTTCGAGCAAAATGCATAACAAGATCCTTCTCTGCAAACAAAAGCAAAATTACGTAAACTTTCACTTATCTTAGACATGATCGATGGAAAAATGGTAAAAGAAAGACACTAACTCGCTTCTTGTGTTGGAGTAGATGAAGAATGGTTACGTAAACGGTCTCAATGAAGAGACCAATGGCATTGATGGTAATGATCAAAGTGCTATCGGGATGGACAATGGGGAGACCGTAGAAAAACCCACATCATGCAGTTCAACACTGTTGCTAGATATGGATCTGGCTTGAAGTCTTGAACTGATTTAGCTTTGTATATCTTAAAGAACGTTGGCCTACTCGTAAAAAACAAGAATAAGAATCATAGCAATCAATTTTCAAGTATTGTTTTCGATATATTCTGTAAAGGGTTAGGATCAAATTATACCTAATGTAAAATTTTTAGATTTACATCTTTTTATAATCGTTGGATAAGTAAAAACAAACTATTAAGATTATATTTTTTCCAGGAAATATCTTTTTATTATTAATCTTAACAGTATATTTTCACTCACTTAACAATTTTAAAAATATAAACTACAAAATTTCATAAGGCGTAATCGAATCTGCCTTTTTGTGAAACCCAAAAGTAATAAAAAGTTAAAAGCATCAATTAGGTATGTTGGAGCCTACACGGGGGAGAGAAACAAGAAGCAGGAGATGATATTTCCTGGATGAAAACAAATAACATGCTAAAAGTTAGAAAATAATACTATATATATAGAATGAAGCATTTGATTCGATGGTAGGTTTAGGACGAACCGATGATCCCAACGATAGTTCTTAGTTCATCTGTGCTAATCATTTTTACTGCAACTCCGTAGAAGAAAGTAGATGGAGAAACTCTTTTTCTTTTCTGGCTTTGTGTAATGAGTAAGTGATATATAGTAGTTCTTACAACTCTGGATCGACAAGGAACTCTAACTTTCCTTACATGACAAAAAAGGAAAGAAAAGCTTGGTCTGACGCAGTTTACGTCGAACTAGCAGTTTTTTAATGCAACTAATTTTAGCAGTTTCTTTCCTTGGATGTAATAGTAACTGATGGCTAAAATACTAAAATAACTTCAACTACTTCACTATTTACAACTAAACCTTTCATTTTCAACTCATCACAAGATATAGAGATGTCAAAATGAACTATATTACCTTAAAACGTACACCAAAAACCCCTACCCTATTTAAACTTGATTTATCTTAATGGACAAACTTGAATTGGATTAAAGTTAAATTGATCGAAGCTTGTAATATTCCAAGATTATAAAATAACGACGGATAAACGATCGTAAAATAATAAGAAAGAAAAAAACATACAAATCTACATAAAAAACTAAGGGAAAATGAGAGAAATTCACTATAAATTTCAAAATTACAAGAGGTTTTGCGACATTTAAAGCTTCGTCTATAATTCTAATTCTTATATTTATTTATGGGTTAATTACTTGATGAAAAATGAAATCTTAGAATATAAAAATCTTCCTCAATACAAAATCATATTTTCACTCAAAATCTAATACAAGAAGAATAGTCGTGTCAGAACGAAATCTGAATTAAAGCCTAACAAGTTCTATCTTGACACGAATTCTATAAGTACAATGTAAGCCGAAAAAAATTTCAATCTTGATGAAAACATAATCTCATCTTCTTCCAAGAAACCTCTTAAGGCTACTAATTAATCAATAAATAATGTCAACCATGTTCGAGCCAAGCTCAAGCATGGATGTGCAAAGTAGCTTATTTTTCACATCGATGAGATCATCATATATTCCAGCTTTGCTCACAACTATATCACTCTGAGAAATATCACGTACAACATGATATCGATCATCAATGATATTTTTATTTTTATTTTTAGCCATATATAACTCATTACTCTCATTTAATCTCTATGGAGTTCTAGTTTCTTTCCTATACTTATCATCGACATTAAAAAACTGTGAAGAAACAATATCATCATTGACGTTATTGATCCTCGTGGCCAAATTGGTTCTACTTTTCTTCCCAATTTTTTTATACGCACATGTTTTCAATTTTGCTAATACTTTGTTCAACACAAAATACTCTTTCAATCTCTGACGAAGAAGAGGAATTAGTAGTTGAATAACCTAAAACTATTGAACCCTACATAACATAAAATTTGAACTTTCAACATAATGAAATAGTCTTTACATATTCTCGAGGGTAACTAGATCTTTTACCAAGGCTTAACTCATAAATACTAAAGTCTTCTGGTATTCTCTTAAAGTTCTATGCTTTCGTATTCATTTCTGATCATTAATAATCATTTTTGGTAACTAGGGACAATCTAATAATTTTTTTAAAATTTCTACCTGAATACTTAATTCAACATCCAAACATGACATGTGAATCATCATAATTATGAAAGTCATGAAACATTTCAGAATTCGAGTTTTACTAACTTTAATTTCTTGAATTCGAGCTTACTACCTTTAAACCTTAGCTTCTACCATATTTCTCATGAAGACCAGTGGTCCAAATCACAAACACGATCCTAAATAATTTTCCTTGAGATAAAAATTCATTAATAATTTCATAGGCCTAATCAATGGAATTAAAAGCTGTTATGTCCAATTTAATATCTAATTAATGAACTTAGGGATTGAATTGGAATAATTGAAACTGTTGGGCCACAATTAATAACTAAATTGCAAACTAGAGGAACAATTGAATCCTCCATGTTAGGTCGGGTTGATACGCGGGTCTCCCACACTCAAAACTACGTCGTTTTGATTTGGCTATAAAATCTCACTTTCTTTTTTTCTCCATTTTTCTTTTTTCCCTTCACCGAAATTATCTACAACACTCTCATCACTTAACTCGTTGGCCAGCCATTGGTCATCGATGCTCATCACGTCAATCATCGTCATCGGTGGCCATCCTCAGTCATAACTTCAAGGTTGGACCTTTAAGGTCCCCTAAGCATTATTTCGGGGTTCATTTTCCCCCAAAACATCCCCTATCACCATATATTTATAAAAAATTGTTTGGCTCTTCTCACCCCTTTTCTCTCTGATCATCAATGTGAGTTGTCCGATGACACTGCCTTCAGGCTATATGTGGTTCCTGGAGATGCGAGGAGCATCCACACTGTTGGGATCTCTTGAATGCCTCATGGATCGTCGGAAATCAAGTCTTTTTTTATATATTTTTTGCTTATGTCAAACTATTATTTTTGTAGGTGAATCATGGTTACACATGAGGAAGGACGACCACTGTCACTAGTCGCAATGGCAGATCTAGAAATTAAATGATGGGGTTCAAAATTTTAATATCCTATTCTAAAAATTTTGGGTATGAAAATTCCTTAATTTTTTTCTATTCTCATTATCAAATTAAACTAAATTTAACAATTTTCTAAAAAGAATGAGTATGCTTTGGCTCCCCTAGGGAGCCATGTATATCCGCCCCTGCCTGGTCGTCGTTGTTGCTGTGTAGTCATCTATTCAGCTATTGGCTGACTGTTCGTTTGGCTACCGGCTTGTTGTTTGACTGGTAAACTTACTGATGTTGAGGGGTTGGGTGAACTGTTGGGGTTCATTTTGGTTGGATCCACTATTCCGATGTTGGAACAAAATCAAGTTGCATAGGTGTAACTAGGTTGGGACTTGTAATAGGTCAGGTTAGGGTGATTATAGGGCGTTTATTATTTGATTTTAATCAAATTAATCGACCTAATTGAATTAGTTTGATTAATCACCAAATTAATTTTGTCGGGGAAAGATTAATTTTTCTAATACTAAAATCAAATCTTCATCTTTAAAAGTTTCATCCATGTCCGTCAAGTCTTCCACTAACTCATTAATAGTAATTATGTGTTATGTTGATGTTTTATTGATAATTAAATCAACCTTTCTCCATCGGGAGAAAATTATAAAAGTTTCTCTTCAAGAATTTTTGCTCCAATACTTTCGCAACTTACAGGTAAAACTCTTGTTCTCATAGTCATACTTCACCTCCTTGGAATGATAAAAACAAATTGTATTGTTCGTCAAACGATTCATTTTCTTCATTTTATTCTTCATATATGTGGAATTTTTAATGGTGATTTCTAGCTGTTGTTAAAATAGAGTGTCTTGCATCTCTGATTGCTATACTGAAATCATTAGATTTTTCAAACAACTCCACCAAAAATTTTATATTCGACATTATCTTCCTCGTCAATTTAGATGAAGAGCTTCATGTTTCATCTGATCTAACTTTTGCTGTCATTTCAACGCCAACACGTTCACACAAAAAGGGAGGTAATCACAAATAATATAACTTTCTCAGCCATAACTTTTCTAGTACTGTCACAAAACTGATCTGAAATGTCAAAATTGTAATTATCAAAATGTACAATGAACAAATTTGTCAAATTATTGGATATTGAGATACAATAAAAACTTAATATTAAACAAATAAATAAATATGGAGAGAACAAACAAAGGATGAGTCCGAGAAGCAGATGAGTTTGTGTTGCCAACAGCAGGAGAGTGAGATTAACATGATTTTAGATTTGGAACCTTGAGTTTAGTGTCAATATATATATATATAATCGAGGCGAGTTAAAAAATTTCAAATTATTCAAGTCGATGAGTCTTAATTTATAACTTGAATTGAGTCGAGTTAAATTGTTTAAATTTTTATTTAAATTTAATTTTAAATATTTGTAATGTTATGGTACAATTTAAATGATTTTCTATAACCATATACGATATACATATATTGTTCTTCATATGCAATATGCATATATCATACAGAGTTGAGGAACTCAAGTCAAACTTAAAAATCAATCTATTAATCACTAAAAATTTTAAGTTATTCGAATTATATTTTATAACAGCTCGAATTTGAAATTTTTAAGTCGAGTTTATGAAAGAACGATTCAAGTCGAGGTTTTTAGCATCGAGTTGAGTTACAGAGTTTGGTTTTTTCGAGACGAGTTTTATTCACTCCTACCTACATCGATTTTGGCTATGACTTGGTACTCCACTGCATCTAATATTCTAATGTCTACATACTCGATCATTTCCATAATGTTCAAATTGTTTTGTTCTCTCCCAACCAATTAGTTTGGTACATTTTGAATAAATTTACTTAGTAGTTTAGGGTTTACTAACGACCTTAAATAAGTTAAAATATATATTAAAAAAACTTATGTTTCAATTTTTTCAGGTTTTATGCATTTCTATTTTCCATTTGAATTGTTATCCTGATAATACCAGAAGTAGCAAGTCATTATTAATGGAATTATTCACCTTTTTTTTTATAAAAAAAAAGTACTACTAAGGTCATTAGGAGCCTATAAGCATGCATATATCCTTTAAATTAATAGCCACCACTCCGCAGCCTAGTGGTTCCTGGCCCATGTACTCAAGTTTCCAGCACCTCCTATCCTCGACCCCCAAATTTACCCTGGCAATTAAATTTATTTAAATAAAAAATGAGTTTAAGAAATATGAAAATCCAAACATCATATAGGATCATGTTAAGTAACACAACACTAGGTGTGAAAACTAAAATATTAAGAGGCAAAAGTTTTTTCTTTCCCTTCACACGTTTGGAACTAAACTGAGTAGTCCCAAATCTGAATCCCATCAGAGTGCACCAAAAATGTCAAAAACAAAAAACTTGAAAGAAAAAAAACTTGAACCCAAGATAATCCAAACATAAAAATCATGATAAAATGGTTGCATAAGATCTAAAATAACCTAAAACAGCCCTACCCTAAACAAATCAAATCTGACAGGATGCAATCCAAAAGAGACCTTACTTGAAATATCTGACACAGGCCAACCAATTTGCC